ACCCGAGAGCGATGGCCTCCAACCTCCAACCTAAGAGCGATGGCCTCCAACTTAAGAGCGATGGCCTCCAATCTAAAAGTGATGGCCTCCAACCTACTAGCGATTGCCTCCAACCCAATAGTGATGCCTAGACAGAGTCTTTACATGCTAAAGAATGTTTTTCTTTTGTCGGTGTGTTAACATCTGATGTCGGCCAGTTCATGGGCAGAGTTTTGTCCTCTCAACGGACACATGACCAATGTGTCTTTCAATGGACCTCTGTGGATGCTTCCTGGAATTTACGTGTGGCTCATTCTGCCCCCTTTGCGTTCCAGCCAGGACCAGGTTTTTGGGGTGTTTGAACACATTCCTAAATGCAAATGTCTTGTCTACGTTCCTACGCTTCGATGACGGCTTGGAAGGATTCATCAGTCGTCAGGCCACTGCTTCGCACAGCCAATGAATCCTACATGTATACTCTATATGGTTCATTTTCTAGACCCCATTGGTAACTTGGAGCACTGAGCAGGCAAGGAAATTGTAGTTGTGGTTTTACCAACGCATGGTTTTTTCATTTCATCAAGTTGTGTAGATTAGCCGTTTGTATTGTCTTTAAATTGATTGATACGCAAGAAGTAGGTTTGTAAACAAATGAAGCCATGGTATCGGATGGAAGCAACACTCTGGTGGACTTGCACAAGTGGAAGCGGAAATGTACTTCATGTATGCCTTTCCCGGTGTATGTTATTGGCAAGTCGTGACAAGAAAGAACAAAGGTCTGGGAAATCATTATACAACTGCTCTTCTTGTTTGAAACAAAAAAGACATTAACAGAACAGTCTCTTTCCTGCCGTTCTCGTTTGTAAGGGGCACTCGGCACTTGACTTTGACCATGGCAGCCCCATGCGTGTTCTTTTTGGAGCTTGGGGTGCATGCTTGCCTTTGGGGGGTTCACTGATCGGGTAGCATTTCTGATTGTGAGTGGGATGGCCTCGAATGCACCTAAAGCTTCTACATGCAGTCTTGTCCGGCGTGCTTTCAGGGTCAGGTTGAACTTATTTGAACTTGCATCACTTTGGAGCCATGCACCCATGCTCCTGGTGCCTCTCCTCCTGGACAAAGCCTTAAGCCTTAAATATTGATGTCCAATAAAGTCAGGCACCAACAGCACCCAAGTTCGAGGTATACACCTTCACAATCCAAGTCTAAAATTATACCAGCATAGACCCCAAGCAGCTTCAAAAGGATTTGCTCGGGCCAATATTAGTCAAAAACGATTTCTTGATACGCCCTACCTTCCCACCCAAGAGCAAATCTACTTTATCAATGATCTTCGTCGGCATCGACATCGCTAATTGTTCGGCCACAAAAGAAGACAAAAGAAGCAGGACAAGAGAAGACAAGAGGAGGACAAGAGGAGGACAAAAGGACAAGACCCGGACACAGAGCCGGGCAACAGAGCCCAGCCACAGAGTTCAGGGGCGCGGCCAGTGAATGTGGCCAGCTCTTATTTTTAGATAGAACCCCAACAGTAAACTGTTTGGGAAAATACTGAAAACTGTCATGAATCTGAACATGCACACTGAACCACAGGGATATTTAGAGACCTTGTAGCCCTTCATCCAGAGGAACAAGAAAGTCCCACTCAACGGGCCTTCGGGCTTCCCAAACATCCAAGAGATTGGCATCAGTGAAGAGCTTCTCCATTGTTTGCTCATTCAGGTCTGTCAACAAGGATGTGTCCCAAATGGGATACGCCACCTGGAGTCGAGCTCTCAATTGAGCTACTGTGAACACTCAGAAGTGCCCCCTCATTGGCTCGCAACACGATTGGGGTTATTTTTGTGATGCCGTCCCAGATAACATTGGTATTGACACAAGGAAGCCCGCGTAGTCCACGCTGAGACAGGGGTGCTGTTGAATGGTGTTTTGAACCCCTACACATCAGAAGTTTGTTGCAAAATCTGTTCTGTTGTTCTCGTAGCTGCGTGCTTACCTTTCGCAAGCTATCCTGCCTGAACCACTTTCGAAAGTGCGAGTTGTTGCTGCGCAAATCAGGCAAGTAAATACTACTGTAGTTAAGTGTAAAGTGTAAAGGGAAAAGAACAATGAAAAACGGCCAAGACCTACCGAACAGTGTATTACAGTGTATTACGAGGGATGGAATTTTGCTTTCCCCTCCTGCCCCAGGCTTGACACCTTTCTATCAACTCTAGGCTGATGGTCTCGGATAGGCTCTGATGCTCAACAAACACCACAGACTCCAACCCATCTCACCCAGAGCTCACTTGGCTCACCCCACTTTTCAGTTAAGAAGTAAGCAGGTCGCCTGTTCTCTCAGGGTGCCCTGAAAAAGGTATGGTCTCTGCGCCAGGAAGAAAACGCTGCGAGGTCCAGGACGACAAAAGGAGGCTCTTTCTCCTGGTGTGCAAGGTACAGGGTCCTCACAACTTGGGTGGGTTTCGCTGCATCATGAATGGGGACAAGCTGGCAATGCCACAACCTTTAGGCAAAGCATGGCACAGCTGTTCAGTCTGAAAGCAGGTTTGAGGGCTGCCGTCCAACTCTGCACGAGTTTTGTCAACAAATTCTTTCTACATGTGGGGGTAAGCAAACCTCTGATTTTACTACTAGGAACAAGAAGCTACTAGGGGCTCCTGGCATCGCTACTAGGAGCAAGGACGCTACTAGGGGCTCCTGGCCTTACGACTAGGAACAAGAAGCTACTAGGGGCTCCTGGCCTTACTACTAGGAACAAGAACACTACTTGGGGTTCTCATCAAGCAAGTCTTTGAGTACTGAGTAGAGTCTTGCTTCTCTGCACTCTTGCCAGGCACCACCAAGCGACCCTAAGCCAAGCAGCAAACCAAAAGCTCCAATCCCCGGGAATGGAGAAACGGAATTGAAATTACAGTTGCGGTCATACAACGCAAGATTGAAGCGATCAACAAATCAGGAGGAGTAACAGCAATCTAATTTGTTGTGGACTCACCAGGGCTTCAGGTTGTAACATACGCCAAGAGAATCAGAACCCTGCGAACGCCGTTGCTAGTTAGATCGCGTGCGCCCCAGTCCAAAGAGGAAGTGCGGCAATGTTTGGACTTCCCAAAACAAAACAATTTCAATTGAAGTCCCAACGACTTTCGTTGATGCAGGGAAACATTGCATCCAGAAGCTGGTGACCCTGCAAGCGGTCCTTGTCAAACCAATTTGTGAAGCATGAATTATATGCTTGACACATGACCCAGCATGAACAATTCCCATGTTCGGCTGATGCAAAGTCAAGCTTGCTAAAGCATTTATATACCCTTGCGGTCCTCCAACCGGATTGCGGAAAAGTGGCCAAAGCTGCCCCAGCACCCTGGGCAGCTGATGGCTTGGATTGGAATCTAGTTGCCTGCCCTATCAACAATTAACCACAGCACTGTACTCGCAGTCCAAGAACATTGCCGACCTACCAAATAGCTACTAGTAGCAAGAAGCTACTAGGAACAAAGGGCATCGCTACTAGTAACAAAGCCTAGTACATGCGGGTGGATGGCATCAGCCAAGAACACATGCGTTGACACAAAACCAGACAAAGGGCTGTAGAAAAATCTGTCCTGTTCAGACTGTTGTCTGTCCAAGTCAATCCGGATTGAAACCAGTACGTCTGTCCTTTGGAACCTAATGGTGCTCCCTACTAGCCCTGTGTGAAGAGCTATGCTGATTCTGCCGTTTCTAAGTGATTCAACGGAGACTGCATTATGCTGAAGGAATATTGAAACGGCATCACACCTTTGCATGTTGCAAAAGAATTCGAGAACTTATCCAGAAGGCTTGCTCCAAACACAACCGCAGTTCAAGCTCACGAGGCCTGCAAGCAAGACAAGTGACAAGAAACCGACCATCGTACCATTATATATATATACATATAGTATATATATATACAATATAAAATGATGCATGAATCAATCATGATATGGTTAATTTCGCATATTTCGCTCTATGGACTCTATACCGCCTCAACAATGAGGATTTGCCGATGCCGCTGGGACCCATGATGAGGCAACTCCTTAGTCGAGAGAAGGCACTTCGAGAAATAAGTCATAGTGGACTGTAATGTCGGCATCTGATTAATAAAGCTAAACAACTCCCAAAATGATAAGGAACTGCGCAGGAACCTATAGTATATGACCATATGAAGCTAACATGTCTAGCAAAAAAGTGATATCATATCCCTCCCGAATAGTGATTCCCGTTCATATTTGAATTGAAACATATCTTGTGGGTTAAAAATATTAACAAATTCCTACCCTCCCCAATACTCGTCGAATTCGAAACTGCTTTGTAGGTCTATATTGAAGCAAGCGAGGGGGTCCCCTGTTTACTGATCAAAGGTGGACATTACTTTGTCTTATAAGTTGTACATTGTAACTTTGCACGGTGTATTACCTGTTTGTACGTACTTTGTCATGTACAGTCTTTTCAATGGAAAAATGTTGAGTTGAGTCCTTTTGTCTTTACCAGCATCAGTCATTGGCAAGGCACTCACCAGGTTCCAGCCTAAGACTCACATCTTTGAGGAGTAACCTGAGCGACTGTGAATCAGCATGTGGCGATCTGATGCCCCCGTTGCATAACAACACAAAAATCTGCCACATCAAGTCAGAATGTACAACATGTGCTCAACAAGCATGCATTTCAATCCTTGAAATCACAGAACATGAACATCCATGAGGCACAAGAATTGAAGTGAATTCATAAACAAGTCAAATCCTAATTGTTCTCTGTGCCCTTGGCATCTTTGTATATGAGGGCCTTTTGAGACCCTTGTGTTTCTCTTGTGCTTTGGCTCTCTCCCTCTCTCTCTTTCTCTCTTTCTCTTTCATTCTGTGCGGCCACAGGCCTGGCCTCATACCATCTGGGGTGTAGATGTCCACATGCCTTGGGCAAGAGGAATCAGTGCACAACAAGGCAGATTGCTGGCAAACAAGGCATAGAAAGAATGACGCCACAGTTATGAGTTTGCAGGTTTTCTGAACATCTTCTTTTCGCCTAAATAAATTGCTACCTGTTTGTCTGATTACTCTAACGTTTATCTGGTGCTGCGTACATCTAAAGGATTGACGCTGCGCTGAATGATGTTTGACAGTTGAAATAGGTAGTTACACTTCAAGAATCCGGGACGCATCTATGCCACTCTTGAAACATAGATTTTCTACGGCAAACTGACAAACGATGTCAAGGCCAATGAACAATCTAGGTCCAAGAAGCTTGCTGCCAGAAAGAGCTATGTCGACAGCTGGTGTCAGGAAATCCTTCCAAGAAACATACTCTATCTAGTAGTTAAGATATGCAATCACTGCGCTGCCCAGGCACTGAAACTCCACAAAGGGCTGAGTGTTCATTGGCACCACAGCGCCGGAATGAAGTTGTTGCACATGATAGTAAGGAAGGCAACATAGAACCTGGCCAAGTAAAGAGGTCCAAACTTAAATTTAGGGCACGCAAAGCGACAATTCCTCCTGTATGTTGAGCAGTCCCTTTGGAATGCCTGGTCTCACCCTGAAAACAAACAAGTAAAAGGACAGGATAACCCCACATGTTAAGCTTGTAAGAACTATCAACGAGAAATAGAGACTGATAAGAAAAGAGGACGAAAAGATACTGGACGATAAAAGTGAATGAGATGAGTGGTGTGTGATGAGTGGTGTGTGATGAGTGGTGTAAGATGAGTGGTGTGTGATGAGTGGTGTGTGATGAGTGGTGTGTGATGAGTGGTGTGTCATGAGGGGGGATGACGAGAGACTGGGACACACGAAAGCCACGCAAGGCCCAGCGGCACCCACGCGCGCCGCAGCTGGTCCGGGAGGCTCTATGTACTGCGCCTGCCACGAAATCTGCACTTCGAGGTTCACAAAGTACTGCGCCTGCCTCGAAATCCGCACTTCGTGGTTCACTGAGTACTGCGCCTGCCACCAAATCTGCACTTCGAGCTTCACTAAGTCCTGCGCCTGCCAAACGAAAGCCACGCGCGGCCCAGCGGCTCCCACGCTGCGTGGGCGCCGCAGCTGGTCCGGGAGGCTCTGTGTACTGCGCCTGCCACAAAATCTGCGCTCCAGGTTCACCAAGTACTGCGCCCGCCATGAAATCTGCACTTCGAGGTTCACTATAAGTACTGCCCCTGCCACGAAATCTGCACTTGGAGGTTCACTAAGTGCTGCTGGACATGGTGTAAGATGAGTTGTGTAAGATGAGTGGATGTGATGAGTTGTGTGAGATGAGTGGCGTAAGATGAATTGTGTAAGATGAGTGGATGCGACGAGTTGTGTGAGATGAGTGGTGTAAGATGAGTGGTGTGTGAAGAGTGGTTTGCGATGAGTTGCGGGAGGCGGCGGCGGAGGAGGAGGGCGGAGTGCCGGCATGGAGCGGCGGGCGCAGAGCGAAAAACAAGAACCCACATAGTGATGTGGGGAACAAGTAACAAACAGCAAAACAACAGCAAAAGGGCGTCATGACATCAATGAAATACCCGTGCCTCTTCCTCATCAATGAGGAAGCCTTCTGCTCGACTCAAAGACCGTTTGCCCTTCCGGTGGGCTTCGAAGGCGATGAATGCGTCCATCACCTATAGTCTTCAGTTCGCATGATCTCCAGAAAGCCATAGCCAACGTTACTTGCAAGCCAGCCATACCTATTTGTGACTCCAGTGCAATGCAGCCCTGAACATCAGATTTATGCAACAAGTGAAGGAGCCAGCCGATTCAAAGGGTCATTCGCTTTGCACCAAAAGAAACAGCTGTGAAATTGCTCAGTAGATAGTGTTGTTTAACACTCTCGGCAAGGACAGCAACTAGCAAGTAACTAGTTAGAGCCATCCAAACCTTTCGTCAGGATCAAAATCTGGAAACCTGCCAAACTGGGAAACTTCAATGTCGCCCCTGAACAAAAAGAGTCAGGCTGCAGTTTATCGAGGAATGACAGGCTGAGCACCATCTGCTTCGAATGTTTGACTGTGTGTGTGCGCGTCTGCCAAATCGTCAGAAAACTGCATCAATTATATAATTAGGTGCGTGTGTCATCACAGAGGCCAAAGGTGCAATACCTACGATAGTTTTGCGCCCAGCTGTGGAGCTTAGTCTGGTTGGTACAAATACTGACCCACCTGCCTCAAGAAGTTGAACTACACGCTGAAGCATTGCCTGAGCCTAAGATACATCTCCGGATTGGGTCGAGTCGAAATCCATCTGCTCTCTTTTTAGGAAATATTACAGTAAATATGGCAGTCTGAAAACGTTCCCCACAGATACGTCAGTAAGAGAATTAGAAGTCGGGCCGTCTTTAGCGCCACGGGTGTAAGTCACAAGAATCCCTCCCTTGTTGATTTAGAACCTTTAGAGAATGATTCCTCGTTTTCTTGGATGGTTCTTGTTTGGTCAGTATTTGGACTGACATTCTATTCTGACATTCTATTGGAGCAAGGCTATTGAGAATGAGAGTAGCAAAGTGCCCAAACGTGTGTGTAGCAAGCGAGAGCCCAGTAGTTAGTTTAGTTAGCTTTTTGGTCTTCACACAAAATGATTCCTGCGGTTACAGTCAACAAACGCATGGCTCAAAATCCTTCCCGTAAAGCCAGCCTTTGCCAGGTCCACAATGCTCTTGGCCACTTCCAGGCAGCAGCGGATGATGCGAATAAAGGTGAGGTTTAAGACCTCAGCTGTCCAAAACTTGCTTGGGCTCGATGGCTCCAATATCAACTAACACAGCAATTGTTGGCAGTCTTAGCTAAGGGCGAACCTTCTGCACAGCGTCGGTCTTTGCATGTAACTGTAAAACGATCATGACTCTAGAACGGCAACACCTAATAGCGATGGCCTCCCACCTAATAGCAATGGCCTCCAACCTAATAGCGATGCCCTCCCACCCAATAGCAATGGCCTCCAAACCTTCCACCGCGATGGCCTCCAGCCTCCTAATGATGCCCCCCCACCTTATAGGAATGGCCTCCAACCTAGTAGCGATTGCCTTTCACCTAATAGCGATGGCCTCCCACCTCATAGCGATGGTCTCCAACCTAATACTGATGGCCTCCCACCTAATAGCAATGGCCCCCAACCTAATAGCGATGGTTTTCCACCTAATAGCGATGGCCTATTAGAAATGGCCTTCAATCTAATGGCGATGGCCTTCACCTAATAGCGATGGCCTATTAGCGATAGCCTCCAACCTAATAGCGATGGCCTTCCACCTAATAGCGATGGCCAATTAGCAATGGCCTTCAATCTAATAGCGATGGCCTTCCACCTAATAGCGATGGCCTCCAACCTAAGAGCGATGGCCTTCCACCTA